GCCCCGCAATCAACAAGTGTGTGCCCCGCCGGGACCGCGCTCCCCACCACGGGCGGCCGTGCGACCCCGGGGTTAACAGCCGAGGGCTGGGCGCCCTCGCTCCTCGCCCTCCTCGGCCTGCGGACACGTTGTGCTGGCTCAGAGTGGGTGGCCGTGCGATGTTCTGTTTGCAGCTCCCTTGCGCGCTGCGGGGAGGAGAGCGGGCATGGGGGTTCGGGCTCCGCGAGGAGGGATTTCCTGCAAGTGGGACTCGCATGCACCTTGAGGCACGTGGAGATGGGCCCCGGATACCATGTGCTGTTTCTCGGGAGCTATGGGAGGTGTCCCGTGGTCTCCCTGCCACGCTGGGTGCCCGGCACTTCCCTCGGTCGGGAGGCAGCAGTCCCCTGCTCCAGCTGGCTGTCACCATACGAGCGGCCAGCAGCGCAGAGCTCAGCGCCGTGCGTGCTGCTCTGCCTGGGCTGCGGTGGCAACTTTACACCAGGGTCGCAGTCTTTGTGTCCTGGTGTGGTGGCCCCAGCTCTCCATCTGCTTCTTTAGTTCTGCTGATAAGGTCAGGAATGACCAGGCAATGATATCTCAGCCCTACTCACGGTTTGCTGGGCAGTGTCTGAAGCCACTGTTACATCTCGAAGAAAAGGAATTTCTTAGTAATAGCACAGGGCTAGGCTTGCCATAAAGCTTGGGGAAGTCCGTGCTTTTTCTGGAGCAAGTGCGGAGCCCGGCTCCAAGGCAGAGCTGTTCATGCTTCCCCAGGCTCCTTTCCCTGTTCTGCTCCCACGATGAGTCAGTGTGGGCTGGTGACACGGGCAGGAGGACCCCCTTTCCCTTTCGGCCGAGAAGCTGGGAGGCTGGGCGAGCTGGGACACCAGGTGGCACGTACCCGAGCAGACACAGGCCCCCTTGTTTGATGACCTGAATTCTCGAGAGCCCTGTGATGAGCAGGGTCATCCTTTCTGCATGAATTCCTGGCTTAAAAGATGAGTCTCCAGCAGTGGCGGGACAGCTTCCCTGCCTTCTCACACAAACACTCTTTGTCTGCAGTCTGCCTGGGTGACAAAGGGAAATATCCACTGATGGGGCAGGGATGGTCTCGAGGTCCACCAGGAGCTCACCACCTGCCTGAGATATGGGTCACATCTGAGGTCGGGGCTGCACTGGCAGCTCTGGCTGTCTGCCCAGAGAGCTGTGGAGGTGTCCATGCAGAGACATCACAGCTCCACTATTTTAGGTCCAGGGTTTTCTCATAGCTATGTCTGGCCCAGTCATTAACCAAAACGTTGCTTCATGGAAGCCTCCAGCTCCCCTCCTCACCACCATCTCCTTTGACCCCAAGGCACCGTATTCCTTTCCCACTTGTCTCCTGCTGACCCATGGCTGCTTGCTGCTTTGAGCAATTCTTATGTTTCACCCTGTGGAAACCCAAGTTTTGCCACTCCTGTAGCTGAGCTGTTTTGCACTACGTGAATGGGCCTACGCGCAGCTTTGCTGCAGCCATCTGGCCCTATGTGGGAGGCTGCAGTTCCTGCAGTAATATTCATAGCCCAACCATAGTGCAACCAGAATGTGTCCAGCTCCTAAATGGCTTCTGTGTCTGGGAGGTGGCAGAGGTGTTCAGGCTGCCCAGTGCTACAGGGTTCAGAGTTGAATCAATCTGATTTTAGCCCCTGATTTTCAGGGTTGGTGGCAAAACTACCTCTCCTCCAGTTCCTGCCCTGGTCTCCGCTGTGGGCCCTCAGTGCCCCTCAGCAGGGTTAGCTTTCCAGGTGTGTGTAAGGAGGCTGCTTTTGTGGCTGTCTGACTTTTAAAAATCCAGACTAGAAGGCAGCTTGAGGCATTATCCCAGGCTGCACTCGAGCTTTCCCTTGACATCCTACAATGCTAATGCCTTGTTACTCCTGTGTCATCTCTGCAGACACTGAACGGGCAGTGGAAATTCTGACCAGATACCAAAGCACCCTGCGGTCCCCGGAGGAGCAGGAGTTAAAAGCTTCCATTGGAAAAGTCTCGCACATCTTCCAAAGTGAACTCTTCCAGGCTCTGCTGGGTAAGCCCCTGCCTTGCAGTCCCTTGCAGTCCCTGCAGCCTTGTGTTTAGTGGGGTCTCCCCATGATCCCACACCGGCGCCTGGCACTGAGCAGTGCATTCTGTGCAAACACATGGCATGTAATGCCAGGGAGCTGGGCTGTCTTTCCCCTCCAGGGCATAGGCAGGAGATACCAGGGCTGCAGTCACTGGATGTTTGTAGTGAACAGCATTCCTCAGTCTGATGAGGACAAGGGATAACACTTTCTTATCAGGCCATGCCTGATCTATCCAGCACCTGCTAAGGGATCTTGCCCTTCTGTGAGCACTCTCTGTGCAGTGCAGGCCTGGTGTGTCCAGGAAGGAAAACTAAATTTTTCTATCTTTATGAGAGAATCCTTTGTACATGTGAATGTACACAAGCTCCTTTGGGGTATTCAGGCCTTTCTTGTGCTTAGACCCACCAGCACTTTTGAGAAACACACTGTTCCAGCAGCTCCATTTCACACAAGACTTTACAGCAAGGCTTATCTTGGGGCTGGGCACCAGAAAATGGCATTTTGAGCACTGTATAAAGTTCTCCATGTGGACTGAGACAAATGCAGCTGAAGTCTTTCTGGACTATGCAGCTTCTCTGTGCAAGGCATACAGCTATTCTCCTTAAGTTCTGTTCACTGTGGGGCTTGGGAAATGCATGCGGCCCTGGTGGTTTCTGTTCCTGGATCTCCTGGGAGAGAAGCTGAATTTCCCTGGTGGGAAGGAAGGGAAAGCACCCCAGAGGCTCTGCATTCTGAGAAGAAGACCCAGGCCCCAGGGTACAGAGCTCCACGTGTGGTCTGTGGCTCACTCTCAGTGCATTTTGACCCAAGGCTGTCTCAGCCCTGGTGCTCCCCCTCACTGTTGTCTTGGCAGCTCTTGCCTTTTCTTCACACCTCTGCAGCCAGAGTTCCACTTCTGTGCCTACAGAGATGAGTTGCCAGCAGCCTCTCTATGCTTCAGGTTTTCCATTGAAAATGAAATTGAGGGCTGTGTCCTGAGCAATTTTATTCTATCCTTTTTTTTCTCTTGCTGTTGGAGCATCACCTGGAGACTTTCAGTCCCAGCATGCCTTTTAAAGGTCTTGTGCTCAAATGTCTATGCCAGCAGCAGCAGAGATGTGCCAAGGGTGGACTCCCCAGGGCAGGTGAGCCCCCACACTGAAGGAGCCTGTGTACATCTCCTTTCTTACCTCTTAATTTATACAACCCATTCTCTAAATGATCCCCAGCCCTGAGGCAGGGGTCTGGAGTAGGGCTGTGAGCTTGACCAACCTGACATTAGCCAAACACCCCTGACTGCTTTTGTTTGCTGGCCAGTCCTCCCTGGGGCTGTGTGAAGGCAGCAAAGCAGCTTTCCCAAGGCGCAGGGCTGTTGCTGTCAGTGCAGAAGTGCTGTTCAGAGAACACGTCTGCATGCGCCGATCTGGCTGCAGCTGCACGCTGGCGGGCGGATGCTGCAGCATCCCCAGCTCCTGCTCACAGCCATTTGTCTTGGTGTCCTATCAGCCCTGGCACAGGGAGTGTTGGGAGTGTTGCTTGTTTACTGGTGACCTTTTCAACTGGTTTAACAGGATATTAATTCCCCGTGCCAGAGCGAGCCTTTCTCTCGATGTGTTTATCTAAACTAGGAATTTGCATTAATTACTTCCGCCCCCCCACCTCGACTCCCTCCTCCTGCTTCCCCTCGGTGTAGGTTTGTGAATTCCTGTCCCAGCATGGACATTGTGTCTGGCTGTGTGCTCGCTGTGGCCACACACGGCTGGCACACACTGGGTTGCCTCGTGTCTATGGTCCGTACCCACTGGAGCACAGTAACAGCACTTGCAAGGGTGATAGAACATTTCTATTTTCATTTTTATTTTCACCCCTCCTTTTCCCAGTGGGCCACTGTGTCTCTGTCTGAAGTCTGCTCTGAGTCACAGGGCTGGCTCAGTGTGGGAGGAGGGTTTGCAGGAGAGCACAGACACTGCTCAGTGCGGAGCTCCCGACTCACTGCCCCACACCATGCCAGATGCCTCTGGCTCTGGAGAGGCCTTAGCCTGCAGAGGTCCCTCCTCTTGCAGCCTTTCAGCAACACAGCCCTGCTTTTTTTCAGCCCCTGGGGAAGATGAATATGGGAGCATGGTCCATCCCTGTCCTCAAGCCGCCTGCTCCTGCAGGTAATGCTTTCCTAGAGCACACATTGGCTGATTGGAGTTTGAACATCAAAATGCATCAGGCCATAGTAGAGCTGCCAGCAGTGCCAAACATCATGGAGTTTGCCAAGTTAGTCCACGTGAAAAATTCAGGGATGTGACTTTCCATATGCTTTTTTCTTTTAAAGAATAAGCTGGTTTGGGGTCTCCAGAAGCCCCAGCCTCTGTTGTGTCCAGGATGCGTCAGTGTTGTGCTGGATGGATCAGTCGCTGTGATCATGCCCAGTGTTGCTCTGCGCATGCACCGTGTTCTGCCAGACTCCTCTGAGCACAGCCCAGCCCTTTAAATCCTTGTGACCACCTCCCTGTCCCTGGAGCTGCCTGTGCCAGGACAGCTCCTGTCCCGGCGGGTGCCGCGGCTGGTTCGGCACAGCACGGCACAGCGGTGCGGGAGCTGCTCTGCGCTGGAATGTGCCAAACCCTGCTCTGCACAAAAGAAATTCCTTGGCTGTGCACAGGGAAAACAGGCTGTTCTGGCTCCCTTCTCCTGGCCCCTCTCTCCCTGTGTCTGAGGCTGTGGAGCCAAGTGCGTGACTTGCAAGGAAACAGCCCAGCAAAGGGGTGCTCCAGGAGCCTGGGTTGGGGTGATGGTGGCCCCGCTTTCCCTTTGCTCCGTGGAGCCCCTCAGGGAGATGCTTGGTCTCTCGTGCTGCTGGGGAGGATGGGGCTTGCACACAAAAGCAGCTCCCTGACCTTTCCTTCCCGGAGCCAGGGCTGAAAGGGGCCCTTGTGCCCTTGGCAGCGGGAGAAGCTGGTGGACAGGCAGGGTCTGTGTATGTCCAGCTGTCCCAACTGCCCAGCCAAGGGGCCGAGCTCCTCCCAAAAATCCTCTGGGACTCAGCTTCTCTCTTGTGCCTGAGCAGTGGCCAGTGCAGACCTCTGTAAGTCCTGTCAGCTGCTTGGGCCCCCAGTCTTCCCCTGCAGCTCCTTTTACCACGTAAGAGATTCCTCATGAGCTTGCTGGTGGTGTGAAGGCAGGAGGAGGGGCAGGTAGGGCTTCCCTGGGTGCAAAACCCCAGCAAGACTTGCTTGCCAGCAGCTCAGCTGGGAATGGTGGTAATGGCTTCACCGGGTGGCTGCAGGAGCCAGTGTGGAAAACTGGAGGAATCTGGAGGCTTCCCAACGCTGAGGACTCCTCTTGCAGATTTGCCCATAGCAAGGATGGAAGAAACTTGCAGCTTGCTTGAAAAAGATCTGCTGTGGCAGCCATGGGTGTGAATGGCAGCGGGGGTCTGGTGTGAGGCTGGGGTTTCTGCTTGGGGTAAATCCGTGGTGCTGCAGCTGGTGACAGTGCGCACATTGGGGAAAAGATGTCATTTTCTGGAAGGGCATGTGCTGGCTGGCACAAGGGCACTGGGTTAGTGCACAGATGCCAGTGCTATAGAAATATTTAATGATATTTATTTGACATGTTAACACCAGGAAAAAATTGTTTGAAAAATTCTAATCTCTGTAAATCTTGAGTTACTTTTACGTATTAGATCTAGAATAGATTTACACATCATCACACAGAAACTGGGCTGTAAGACAGAACATGCAGCTTCATCTTTTGCTACCACAGCGTACTCTTATGGAGCCTTTTCAAGTAGTGCTGCTCTGCACAGGTGAGGCAGACTTGTGTGCAACTTGTGATGCTCATAAAAAATGAGGGAAACCAGCATATATTTAAATTATCTTAATGCCATGTGCATGTGTCCTAAAATGTACTTCTGTCCTTTGCTGCCTGAACCCTGTCCACCAATCCTGAAACTCTTCTAATCCCTGGTGCCAGCAACAATTCTCTCTTCTGGCAAGCACCTAAACTGGGCTGAGGGTTTTGGAGGTGGAGAGTGGCTGCTTCAGGGGACAAGTTTCCTGCCCTTCAGACGCCTTGCCAGCTTGGCTGCCCAGGGCTGTGTTCCTGCAGCAGATGGGTAACAAACGGGGATGCTGGCAGCAGCACTCCCCTACAATGGGGCTGTTCAAATCCTGTTTTAATTCTTGCAAAGTGTTGTGTGTTCCCAACGTAATCCATGCAGCCAGAAGCTGCTGCTATCCTGTTACGCAATTATTATTTTTATAACCGGAGGGAGAGATGTTTTAGCACGAAAACAAAGTCCAGTTTCTCTGGCTGTGAAGTGAGTGCTTGCTGCGACCTCGTGTGTGATTTGGGAGGGTTTCAGGGGCTGCCAGCAGCCTGTTTGGCAGCCAGGGTGCTGTAGAAGGGGTGCCCTAGGTGTGGCGGGTACATGTGGGGACTCCCACTCCTCCCATCGTCGTTGCCAGCTGCCACATGTCTCCCAGGGCACAGGACAGAGCCTGGCAGCACAGAGCAGCAGCTCCAAAAATGGCACTGATGCCAGGCAGTGGCACAGTGCTCCTGCACTCGGGCAGCCACAGAGCCTGGCTGGGCTGCCCTTGGGCACCCAGCTGGGCTGCCAGCAGCTGAGATTTGTATCAGCTTTGCTCTTCCAGCTGGGAGGTCAGCAGACCAGGCAGCCCCTGGGAGCTGGAAGATGGGGGTTGAAGCTGCTCTCATCCCATCTGCAGCATGGATGTGCTGCTGCAGTGCATGGGCACGTGGTTAAACACTGGGAGAGAGGATGGGGAATTGTGCCTGGGCGTGCAGCCCTGCTCTGTGAAAGCATCCCTGGTGTCATGGGCGGAGTGGGAGCTTCAGACAAAGTTTATTATGAAAGCCCTCCTGTTGAGTCACGAGGTGAAGAAAGGACACACTTTCCTTTCTAAACTTACCCTCAGAGAGGAGCCTGGATGCAGCTGGATCCAATTTAGCCCCAGACTTTGTCAATGGCATATGTCTAAAGGATTATACAGGTGCAATTGAACCTTTATACAACTTTGTCCCACAGGATTAAGGATGATAAACCTAATGTATTTATAGAAATATAGTAAATGGTTTGTTTAAATTTATTACAATAATGATAAGGATTAGAGAAAAAAAAAGCTTAATCAGAATTACTTACTAAACAGTATGGATAGCTGTAATTACTAGTGTAGTACACTGTTTTTGAAGCAATATTAAAGCAATTATATCAAAGCTAGCTAAAGAATTATTAAGTAGAGATTGAGTTACTCTTCCATACCAATGACCATGGGCAAATCTCTTTCACTCTGCTCTGAGGAGTGACCTTCAGGGGTGTCCCCACTCAAGGGAAGGATCTTCATACATCTTAGGGAGATATGATAGAACTCCTCACTGTGCAAAAGTATGAGTGGCCTATTATAGTATAAAATGATTGCTTGTCAGCCATATGCATTTTTTAGATTATGTATTATCAGACCTAATCAGCACAGTATGCTTTGTGCTGAAAAAGGTGCAAGCAGCTCTTCAGTTTCTTCTTCTCACCACTCCTGATTCTCACTTCCACATCAGAGCATGCACATTCTTGCTGCTCCCAGCTCCAGCCAGGGAGCATGTCTTGCATGTCCTTGTGGTGGGGTCTGAGTTTGGCCAAGCTGGTCTCACTATTGTTCAGCACTAAGAGCAGCAGACCCTCCTCACTCCATCTTATCACTGCTCAGCTGACCCTCCTCGCTCAGGCCTTCACTGATGAACTTAAGGCAAATTTCCAGCTGCTGTATCCCTGCTTAGGCAGAGCATCCTGCTACAGCTGGGGAACAGCCTCAGGCAGTGGCCAGTGTGTCCCTGCTTACACTGCCAATGTTCACCAGATTTCCTGATGAACTCTTTGTGGGCGTTTCATACCTCGTGATGCCATGGTGTGGCATGGTTTCAGGTGAGAAACCACAGACTGGAGGGCAAGTGCAGGTGTTTCATCCAGGAGCTCCCAGGGAGTGCCAAGGGAATGGCCACATCCCCCTCAAGCTGAGAGCCACAGCTTGCCCCTCGAGTCACTCACAGAAGAGGAGCTCTTCAGCTTCCTCCACAGCAGACACAGGTACAGAAAATGATCTCAGGTTCCTGCTGTGTCTTTTCCTGCTTCAAGTGCTCATTTATGCTGCCTTGACTTTTTGGCCCTGCCGGCTTTGCCAGGCTTCCTGTTTCCCAGGTGCTTGAAGGGATTTATTACTCTTTTTATGGCTTTTGGAAGGCGTTTACCAAACTCTTTTGGCCGACCTCTTGGAGCTTTACCTTTAACCTGTCAGCATTTACCATCTATTCTGGTTTTCTCATTTAGATGCAGCTTCAGCAGTTTAGATGAATGTCTTCTCATTTTCAATAGCCTCTTTTCCTCTGCAGTCAAGTCTTGCTTTCCTCCCTTTTGCCTTTACAGTATCCTCCAGCCAGACACTTCATGTCTGTTCAGATGTCCCAGTGGGTCTCCCTAAATAGGCTCAGAGCCTCCCACAAGTTTTTGTTACCCCTTTCAGTTTATTCATAAAATCAGATTCTCACTTTTGATGTAGTTTCCTTTTTGAAATTAAACACTTCTGCAGTGGATTTGTTGACCAGTGTGGAGATACTGGCTCTGGAGATAACTGAGGGCTGCCAGGGGCCAGCAGCTGCCTGATTGTGCAGCAGTGGGAGCTTTCTTAGGGAGGAGCAAAGCCAACTGGATCACTTCTGCTCCCTGGAATCCTCTGTGTGTTATCTGGAGAGGGTAAAATGCTCCTGGCTGGGCTAGGAGAGGGTCTGGGCTCCCAGAGCCCCTCTGGACCTATACCTGGGCAGCTGCTGCCTCTGGAGCAGTGAGGGCTGGGATAGCCCATTTTCATGTCTCTCTCTAGAGCCACTATAGATTACAGCAGCAGGCTCAGGTCCTTGGAGCCCGGAATGAGGGTGCTTGATATCTGTTGTGGCAGTGTGCAGGTGGGAAGAGGGGAGATACCAGGGAGGGAGCTGGAGTTAACAGAGCTGTAGTCACCAGCTTTAGAGCCTGTACACTGAGTGCCCAGTGGCTTCTCTGCCTGTCCCCCTGGGAAGTGAGCCCCTCCACAGGCCAGAGGTGCTGGGGAGCTGTGATGGGGAGGGAGTAGCCCGTCATCATCAGGGCAGGCAGGCAGGGGCTGCATGGTGCAGAAGGCCTTTCAGAGCAGGAGGGACAGGGGACCCTGCCTGGGGCTGGCACAGCCTGGAGGAGAGCAGGATGGTGTGGGTTTTGGATGGATGCTGCTGAGCAGAGTTTGCTCCTAGTCCCTGTGGACATTCCCATGCCTTCCATAGCCATGGGCATTGCATGGTGAGCCAGGGGCCCCACCTCACCTCTTTCCTTGCAGAGGGGGTATGGTGGGCAACACAGCAAGCACAGGGAGCCAGCAGAGCCCTCTCCCAGGGTGCCAGCCTCTCACAGAGGGCTCAGACCCTGGGGCCAGAGTGGCAGGTCACAGGTGCTGCACCCCACAGAGGCTGTCTCTCGGTCCTGAGGGTGTTTCTCCTGCTGTTTTGCAGATATCCATGAATTCTACGATTTCACGCTGCGCTCTGCACCCGTGCAGTCTCCGAGCCTGGATGCACATCATGGCACAGCCAGGCAGCGGCTTGGGACCAGCGAGCCCAGCTCCACAGTCACACCCAGAGAACCCCAAAACCTGCCTGAGGTAAGAGCCACCCTCATGGTGCTGTGGGACCCTGCACAATCCTGCACTGAGAGAGATTCAAGGGGCACAGCAGGCTGCTGGCCACCACAGCCTGCCCAGCTCACAGCCAGGCTGTTCCCACACATTCTCTGTGATAGCTTGTCTCAATAATGAGGCAACCTCTCTGGTTCACAAGTGTTAATTGAATTACTCGTAATGCGAACAGCTCTGGCTCTGGCTCCTGCTCTGCAGTTGCAGCTGGATTAGTTGTTCCCGTCTGACGCTGTCTCCCATGGAGGCGTTTCAGCTCTCTGATCCAGCCACTTTTGATAAGTGAAGTAGGTTGAGTCTTTCAAGTTTCCCTTTTCACAATTTTTTTTCCAGCTCTCAGATAACTTGTGTCTCTCTTATTTGCATTCCCTTCAATTTTCAACAGCCTTCTAAAAGATACAGCACCAGGTGGAGAGGCAGGAATTGAGCAGTAGGGTCTCAGTTATCTCAGAGGCACCAAGGTAAATAAAAATGCCTCATGTCTTTGCAGGCCTTCTTTCCATCCTCCACTTACTTCCTCCATCCCCCACTCACAGCCCTGCCATGGGATGCTGTAGGATCCCCCTAATCTAGGGATACTCTTGTGCAGTAATGCAAACATTCAGGGATTCCTCCTTTCAGTGAAATAACCCTATCAGATAAAAACCATTTTCTGCTTCACTGATTGAACTGGCTTCCCATCATATACCTGGGGAAACTTGAAGTTCAAGTGTCACACAGAGAAGATGGAGCTGGATGACATCCTCTCAGGAAGAACATTTTAAAGGAGTTTGGGGATCAAGAACAAGGAGGGCAAAACAGCCTACAATCACTGTAGGAGATATTTGTGTTCCTCTGACTCAGGAACCACTTTAATCCCATTTTTTCTTGACCCCCTTCACATTGCCAGTCCCTCTAGTTAAACCTGCAACTCTAGTATGTATTTAAGAACAAATTTTTAGTGCTGTTATGCCATAGGCAGTGGGATCCTGCTTTGTGTTTTTTGGGTGTCCTGTAGCCTTGATCCACTTCTTTTGAACTCTGCTGGCAGTAGCCACTAGTCCCTGTGGCCAGGCCAGTCTATGAATCCCCAAGATGTAACATTGAATAAGGACATTGAAAAATCAGTGTGGAAACAAGCAGGGAAGCAAGTGTGAGCCTTGCACAGCTGGTGTGAGCGGTGCCTCTGCTCCTTCCACTGTGCCCTGTCTGTAAGGGGGATGAAAAAAACAATCAGTTGCAGGGCCTCCTTGTACTGAACACAGCCCAAGCCATTGACACCATCAAATCCCTCCTCCTTTCTGCAAAAAAATGTGTTGGAGGTGTCTTGTGTTGCTGGAACATGAAATGCAACCCAGCAATGGCACAGTCCCAGAGTCTTGGGCCAGCAAACCTCCACCATCATTTGCAGTGACCCTGCTGGGCCTGGGGCCAGCGCGAGGCAGGCTGACGTGAGGGGTGGGATGCCCATCAAAGGCACTGCTCCCCTTGCATGGGGAAAAGCTCATTTTGGCCCTTCCAGAAGCAGTGGAGAGCCTGGAGGCAGCTGGCCTGCCCTACCCACATATCACTGGTCTCGTTTCAGGACTGCTCCTGGGAGCGTGAGCAGAGGCTCGCCACGGGAGCTGGGGACAGCGCTCCGGGGACACCGCCACGGCTGGTGAGGGTGACAGCACGGCGGACAGAGGCACCGGCCAGTGTCTGCAGCCTGGTGCTCGGCTGTCACAGCACCCTGCCCCAGGTGAGCCTCCGTGCGCCCCACGCCACCGCCAGCCCTGCCAGCGGCTGGCACTGAGGGGACAGCGCCGTGCGCTCTCAGCACTGCGGGCGCGGCGTTTCCTCCCCTGCGGCTGCCAGCGCGTCCTCCTGGCTGATGGTTCTGCTGATGCTCACACCAGAAAATCGAGCGGTCACCTGTGCCAGGGGCTGGACAGCACTGAAATCATCCCCTTGCGTTAGCACTTGTGGCCGTGTCAGCCCTCAGGGCTCGGAGGGCAGGTGGATGTGGCGCAGGAATAAAGAGGCTGCGTGGAGCTGGAAATCCTCCCAGGCCCGTCCCTCTCGCCCCCAGCGCTGGCACGCTCCCACGTTGCAGATTTCCATATTTTTTTCTCCGAGCTCTTAAATGGCAGGTCCGTTGCTCAGCTTCCCAGGAGCTTTTCGCTGCTGTCTTATTTACTTGGAAACACCATTTATTTGGATGTGCATCGTAAAGCTCAGCCTCCACCTGGTGCAAGAAAATTGTTTGGGCTACACGTTTGAGGGGAGTTTGGGGAATGAGTGAAGGGCAAAATGCACTTTTGGGAAGGATGAAGTGGCCAGGAAGAATGGAGCTCACCACAGATTTAAAATTATATGAAAATGTTGTTTTTCTTGGCAAAGTTTGAAATAATGCTTGTTTGCTAAGTCTAAGTTTTCTTCCAAAGTATTTTAAATACAAAAATTGCACTGCCTCTCTTCTGTCCTTTTTAAAATGTTTCCCTTCTTTTTCTGGACTGCAATAAAATGGGTAACACCCCATTTTTTTCTCTTACTGTTTAATTTCTCCTTTTCTCTTGTTTCTCTCTACATTTTCAATCACTCACCATATCTTAAGCAGTTTTTGAAGGGCGAGACAGTGGTTTTCTGTCCAACCCCATATGACAAGAAGATGAGCTTGGCTGCTGGTTTCCATTTGCCAATGGGTGGGAACCACCACCACAGGGGAGTCATAGGGCAAAATCCATGAGGGGGTGAGAGCCTGGGCAATTGGGAACAGATTCTGTTGTGATTATAAGGGATTTTCTTTCTAACTGTCCCAGTGAAGTACAGCATCTCTTGCATCCAGCCCCAAATGTCTGGCTGAGTTTGCAATGTCTCCTTTAGCAGACACCTAGTTTTGATTTTAAGACTTCATGCAATGGGGAATCTGCTCTGTCCCTGGCCTGGCTGGCCTAATGATTATTTATGCTTCACATTAAAAATCTGCATTTTGCTGTTAGCCTGGATTTCTCTTGCTTTAGCTCCCAGCACCAGGAAATTTTGCTGCCTTAGTTTGCTAGGATAAAGGACCTTGGCAATCAGAAATGTTCCCAACATGTAGGTATTTATAGATGCGTCTAAGTTCCCTCTTAACTTTCCCTTAGATAAACTAAACAGATTGGCTTCTTCACTCGCTCACTGTTGAGGCAGGTTGTTCCAGACCTGAAATAATTCCTGTCATTCTTTTCATCCTCCTTCTTTCCTAGCCTGTGTCAGCATGAGGCCAGTCCTTGGTGCCAGGTGCTGGAGCTTTAGGGGTCACCCATGCACAGGGGCTGCAGCTGGCAGCAGGGCAGGGGGCAGGGGGTCACTGCCCTGAGATGGAGGAACAATGGGGTGGGCAGACTGGGACTCTGGGAGTGCTGTGCTCTTGCAGGGCTCTCATCTGCAGCCTCCTTCATCCCAGGGAATGGTCCTTTCACAGCATGGCTGCAGGCAGAGCAGGGAGCAGGAGGTGAAAAGCTGTCAGGATGGTAGTGTTCAGTGCCAGGTATTGCCATGCCTGTAGTCCTGCCTGAAACTTGGCTTTCTGCAGAAACCCAGCAGCTTTCCTGAAGACTTGAGCCAAGCAGTGCTGGAGAGCTGCAGGCTCAAGCAGAGCTCTTCTGCAGCAGGCCCTGTGCTGGGATGCAGAGTCCTTTGTCACAGTGGTGAGCCTTCCCCCAGGATGTCACCTTCAGTTCACCTGCTGAATACAGGCCTTGCCCTGACAGAGGGAAGCATTTCCAGCAGTCCCCCATGAGACAGGATCAGGTGCCTGGGGCAGGCTGTGCTGCTGGACCACAGCATGGGCTGTTTCTCATCCTTCACTCCTGCATGAAGGCACTGAGGACACCTCAGCTGCTGCCAGCATCACATCCTGTGTCCATTCTCAACAGCCACAGCATGCAGGACAGCACCAGGGCTGGACAACACCTGCATACCCAGCTCCTGCCCTGCTCCACAGGGACTTCTTGCTTTCCAGCCTTCAGTGTGTGCTTTTTTTTGCCACAAGCATTTCCAAAGCGAGCTGCAGAAAAATACCTAAGGTGGACAATTGTATTTGGAAGAACCAGGGAAGCATTTATAAGTTAGTGATAGTTAATGCTAGGGCAGGGGAGCACCAGCTGCCACCCCAGTGCCATCAGCCCAGGAATGAGAGCTCTGGTCGACAGCCTGCCACTGATAAAAGGCAGCCATGAACTGACTTTTCCTACATGAAGTGCAATTCTCTTATTGCATCTATTGATGTAAATAAGTTTTCTGTTGCCCTGGCTTTGTCCTCTCCCCTGCCCGTAGCTCTCCACAGAATTGTTAACAGAGCAAAAGCTACCATGACCCGCTTCAGCCAGGAAGATGCATGTCAAATAGATTGCCTCTCCACTCCAATGCTTCCAGGAACAGGAAATTTCTGCCTGCTGGTGAGGACATGGGTGTGCTTTCAATAGCCCTGCAGAGTGCAAATGGCTGCTACAAAGGAAGAGGTGCCGGTAAATACAGCAACAACATGTGCTTCCTGTTGAGGCTTAGTGGGCTGAAACCATCCCTCCACGGCAAAGTGGGTGTTCAGCCCTCAACGGGGCAAAAGCAAAGGGACTTTGCCAGATAAAACACCCTGTTGAGGCTAATAGGGGCAAAACCCTGCCAGAGTTCTGGGGCTCGTGGGGTTTTATTTGATGAATCCTTCGTTTCAACCTTTCCTGAGCCCTGCAGCCGCCTCAGCGGGGCTGCTCAGGGCTTATGTGTATGTGCTGCGGGAAGACTCAGGAGGATGCTCCTGTGGCCGGTGTCACTCGCCTGTGCTCCCGGGCTGCCAAGGAGGCTGCTGCTCTCAGTAAACGCCGTTTTCATCCTCTGTGCAGGGAGCAGCCAGCTGTAAAGATAAATGAAAGAGGAACAATGCCGCTGATGAGCAGAGCTGTGCGCCTGCGAGGAAGCGCTGCTCTTCCCCTGCCACCCCTCTCCTGCTTCCCTGCGCGGCTCCGCAGCCGCCCTGACTTCATCCCTGTCACAGCGCCAGTGCCTCCACCTCCGCCTGCCCGTGCATCCCTCCCGTCTGCCGAGGCTCTCCTCGCTGTGCCGCCCAGCGCCAGCTCTGCCACAGCTCTGCCCTTGCTCAGCCTGACAGCTGACACGGAGCAGCAGCAGGTCCTGATATGATGGAGAGCGCAAGCGAGGCTGCCTCAGAGGACAGGCATTCCATGCATGCTCTGAAATCATCGGTGAATAAGAGACCTCGCTGGCAGGGGTCACTGCTGCTCCAGCAGGCTCCGGGTGTGTGGGATGCCTCTGAGTGCCCTGTCAGGGTGAGAGGTGCAGTCTGCGCTTCAGTCCTGCGGGGCTGAGAACAGAAATGTCCCAGTCCCCCTCCCTGTGTCCCAGGAAGGACACAGCTCCGGCAGAAACGCCCTGTCAGGGTGTTAGGAGCCCTCTCTGCTGCAGCTGCTGCGCAAGAAGATGCATCCGACTGCCCCATGACCCACGGCTCAAGTGCCAAACAGGTCCATGGAGCTCCCTGGGACATTTGGCAGAGAAAGGCAAGCTGCGCCGCCAGCCTGGCGACCGACTGTCTGCTTCTCCCGTCCTTCTCTCAAGTGTTTTTTCCTATTTCCCAGTGTGCCTTTGGCCAGACCGAAGGGCGTTCCGGTGCTGCTCACCTTTGCCTGCCAGGAGCAGCGGGTCAGGATGGGATGGGCGTGTGGCAGATGCTGCAGCCATGCCAGCTGTGAATTCCCTGCTCCCCCGCCTGGGCTGCAGCCTCACCGCTCTCCATTTTCTCTGTGAGATGCAGGAGAGGGGAAGCACCAAGGAGCTGTTTGGTGTTGCATGGAACGTCAGGGAAATGAAGCAATCTCCAGTGCATACAGTGAATGCAGCCCCAGCAAGAAGCACCTGTCAGGTTGCTTGGTTGCACGTGCCCTGCTGTCCCCACCACCCCATGCCCTCTCTGTGGACTGACAGGGCAAGCAGCTGAAGCCATTGCTGCAGGCCAGACTTTACCAGGCCCCTGCTTTACCTCAACCTCAGCCCATCAGGCCCTGCAACCCCAAAATCCCAGGAAGTGGCTAATGCTCAAGCAATGAGACCACAGAAGCAATCAGCTCCTGGGGGAACTCCCCCCTCCCCATTGCATCCCCATGCAAAAGGAAAAGCACATTTATTTTAGGAGAAGCAGAGGAGGAGAGCAGCAACCCCCAGCCCAGAGGCTGCTGCCCAGTGTTACTTGAGCCACTTTGTGCCTGGAGGTCACTTCAGGGCATTCAGATGCTCCAGCAATTTTGTGTTCTGATACTGCAGACAGAGGCTCAAAAGCCAAAGTGCTGAACTCAAGAGGGTGTCTGTCTGTAGTAACTCACACAGATTGAACCACACATCAGCCCTGCACAACAGGGACACCCAGCTGGGCAGCCGGCTGCCTGTGTCCCAGGGATGCTGCTGCTCAAAGAGGGGGTCAGCAAGGGCTCTGTCAGTAAGAGCTGTCACTTCAGTGGACATTTTGGGGTTGAATGGCCTCAGCTTTACTAGAGGCTTTTGTTATTCCTGCTGCAGAGATGAACATGCTTAGACTTCAGTTCTCCCAGCTCAATATCCAGCTTCAGCAAAGGATGAAGAAGCCAGTAGAGACACCAGGCTGTCAAACAAAAATCTCATGCATGGTCACATATTCCCACTCTACTTGGGGACTTTTTGTCTAAAACCAGCAGCAAAAGGAAGATCCTTGCAGACACAAGGTGTTTCTGG